TAGAAACGGCAACGTGAACATGGTATTTGGGACGGAGAGACTATATATATGTGTATTAAAAATATTTTAAATTAAAATATAAATATGCTATATTCAATCTTTCTAAGATGTATATTTATATAATAGTAATAATAATATGATAATCTTTTCATTAATATATATTAAAGTTATATAATTAATAAGTATTTTAAAGTGCACGCCAATTTTGATTTTATTGCTGGTGAAATAATTATTGCACGAATTATGATTAATGTAATAACCTAAAGCTAAAGCAAACCAAAAAGCTTTTCAAATAATAATAATAAATTTATTCTTAATTATTTCAAATGTATTTTATTCCTTTCTAAACTATGCACTGCTAGTCTTATATACCATTTTTGTCCGTCCCAAAACAATAGTTTTATTTCCATAAATAACCATATCACCATAAAATTATCTTTACTTTTTCATTTTTATTACATAATTGCTACTATTTTTTACATTAATACACTCACAAGAGCAAATAAAAATTTTTATCTATATTTTTTACCCAATAATAATATAATTTTCAATTGAGTCCTTTTTCTTTGGGGATTTTTATCAAAATTTTCTGTACACATAATTAAATTCCTATGTAAATAATAATCAAAACACTTTTTAACATAACTTTCCAAATATATATATTATATATATATATATATTCTATTAATTTATGAAAATCAATTATTTAACATAAAATATTACTCTATTCAACCAACTTAATTTGTCAATTAGTCTTTTATTTTCGTCTATCCTATACAATTTGTCATTTTCTTTTTTAAAAATATAATTATACAATTTAATCACATTTTGAAAGTCATAACTATTTAGTTATCTTAATTTATAATTATTTTTACTAATAAACTTCTTAATTATTTAATAATTACACAATACCTAAAACTTCGTGACTAAATTAAATGAAACAATTTAGCTGAGACAGAGGGAGTAATAGTTTTTATATCATGGATATAATACTCCACACCTCACATAAAATAAATAAATAATAATAATAAATAAATAAATCAAACAAACCTAAAGTAGTAAATAAACAATTTAATTTAGCATATTAGGAAGATCCGAATTTGAAATTTTTGAATGAAAAATAAAATTAATACTACCACAATTATGTTTCTTTAGCTAGTTTTTGTTTTCGTACCATGTTTTAGGTGAGAAGTATAATTTTAATATTTTTTTTTTTCAAACTTTTTGTTTTGATTTTTTTTTTAATAAATTATATTTATAATGATAAAATAGGAAAATTTATATATAATGAATTAAAACATGTAAAAAAGATCATGTAAAAAAATTATAATAATGGATTTGCTTACTTATATTTTATAAAAAATAAATATTCGATGTAGTAAAAAAATAATTTGAAATTATGCATTAATTTAAATTTTTATTTAAATAATATTTCGATATAATATTTTATATATTTTATTAAAAAACATGCAAATTGAATAGAGATTTTCTCAAACAAACACAACAATGTCTAAAGTAAAGTATTATTATTATTATTATTATTATTATTATTATTATTTTATCTCAAAATAGAAGTTATGAGATTAATGATGTTATACGTTGATATTTTGTTTTATTATAAAATAAACAATGTATTCACATTAATATAATATATAATGCTCCCTCCGTCCACGGATAAAGTATACATTTTTGGCGCGAAGTTTAAAAAATAATAGTATTTTAATTATAGTGGATAGGTAAAAGTAGTATAATGATATTTTTGCTTTGCTTTTTGGTATAAAAGTAATGATGTGATGTAAAGTAGAAAAAAATAGGGTATTTAATGAAATTGTTACTTTGTAATTAGACGTCCCAAAATAGAAATATGTATACTTTGTAGCTGGACGGAGGAAGTATTTTATTTACGAATAAAAAATTAAAGATTTAATATAAATACTATTCTCTCCATTTCAGAATTATAGTTTGGGCTGTGTTTGACAGGAGATTGATTTAAAAAATATTGATATTGTATTGGTAGTGAGTAAAAAGTATGAGTAGATGACTTTTTTGTCCTTATGAGTGTATTTGTGTAAAAAGTAGTGATAATTGTGTAATAATAATAAAAAAATAAGGGTAGTTTTATAGTGATATGATTATTTATAGAAATGAGATTATTGTTTGAAAATGGACAAAAATGGTAAACAAGACTATTGTATTGAAACAGATGGAGTATTTTTTATTTTTTATTTTTATATTATCAATACGATTTTCTACCTATAACACAATTAAACACATGCCAATGAAAAGTAAATTATGGTAAAAGTGTTTATGATTTTATTTTATAAATGTCGATTTGGTTGGTTGTGGTTCGAAATTAATTTAAAATAAAATATTCATTTGAGTTCTTGTTTAAATAGTATTTCATATGATATTTTGTGAAAAAGTTATTAGTATTTTTATTGAAAATTGTACAGAATAGATATTAATAATAATAAGTCATGATGTTATTTTATTATTTTTTTATATAAATAGTGTTGTTGGTATTTTAATAAAATAATTAATATACACATAATTAAAATAAATTTAGAATATATATTTAATATTTTTAGCATTATATTTCAATATAATATGAATATTATTTTTTAAATAATAAAATCTTATTTAATATAAATACAAAAAAAATTATTAAAAAAAAAATCATTTGTCGTGGAATGAAAAAAAAAAAAAGAATTGTGACTGATCAATTTTTATTTTTATTTTTCTTTAATCTTAAAGTTACTTTGATCAATGACACAATTACTTATGTAGTATAGATTAAATAAATTAATAATAATAAAATTATAATATTATTTTATTATTTTTTATATGAATAGTAATGTTGATATTTTAAATATTTCTAACATTATATCTAATAAAATATAATATAGATCTCATTCGCAGATAATATATATTTTATATAATACAAATAAAAAAATATATATATATTTATATTTAACTTAAAACTAATTTTATAAAAAATAGACATTTTAAATAAAGATAAAATATTTATTTATTAAGAAAATACATAAATAAAAAAAAGTTTTGAATGAAAAATAAAATAATTATATTGATTTATATTTGTTAAATATATTTAAAATAAATATTTAAAAAAAAATAAAAATAAACCATCTTTGAGACGAACTAAATGAATCATTTGATTTTGACCCAATTAAATAATTAATATTTAATTATTATTCTTTATTTAATATAATACATAAATATAAAATATATAGACATATTATTTTAACTAATATAATAGTAATAAATTATGTGATCAATTGTGTAGTACGTTAGATTATATATATATATATATATTCATATGTAAATATGTGTATGATGAAAAGTGATGTGTTTTATATAATATTTTAAATAAAAGACATTTGATGTTACATTTATATTTATATATATTTTTTTATTAAATAGTACAAATATTCTGTGTGTACCATTTCTTAAATAATTGGACAATGCAATATAAATTAAATATTTCGTCCGTCATATAATAAATTATTATTATTTTTTTAATTTTAGTTCGTCTAATAACAAATATTTTTTTTTTTAATAATTATATTATCTATCTAACATTACAAATACTCTTACAACTTATAAATGTTACACAAATGTCATTACCTTTATATCACAAAAAATACTAATAAAGTTATTTTAGTTATTTCTACTTTATTCATACTATATCCCAATATAATATTAATATTTATAAAATCCCATACAAAAAGCAAATAAATACATAATTATGGAACGAATGGAGTATAAAATATGAAATACTTATTGCTGTGTTACAAAAATTAAAATGCTAACAAATTCAAATAGGTTATTTTAAGAAAAAAAATATTATCAATAAAAATTACTTTATAAATTAACATTTTGCATTAATGATTATATTTTTAATTGGGTAGTTTGTTTATATATATATATATATAAGATAGTGCTTTAATATATATATGTTAATTTTAAATTAATTAATTACATAATATATATATATAAAATTATACTATAAGAAATATTTTCAAAAATATCTTCATATTTTTATTTTAATTAAACATAAATATTACAAACATAATTGACCCTTATCATTTTCAATATATACTATAAATAATTAAAGATTTATATCAGCTGTATATAGTGTCAAACAAAATAAAAAAAAATAATAAAAAAAAAGAAAAATACAGTGAGAAAGAAATTAAGTTTTCTAAAAATACATATAATTTATTATCACTTCAAATACCTATAAAAAAAATATAACCAATATCTCATACATAAATATTTTTTATATATTGAAAATTTAAATTAGCAGATTTAAAAATTAAAATAAATTAAAAATTAAGAGCGACATAACTGATAATTATATTTTACCTTGTCGGGTAGATCTTTGCAATTAATCCTATTTAATAATTTTAAATAGAAATAAACAAAAGGGTAAAGATGTAATTACACAAAAGCAAATTGGGTTATATTTATATTTAATTTAGTGCAAAATTTTCTTCTGTTCATATTCCCTTTTGTCTGTTTTTGGTATTTCCCAAAACAATTTTATTATTTATTAATTTATTATTATAATAATTAGATATTTATTTATTATTTTTTATAAGAAAAGGGTGATGGTTGTCTTCATGCCTTGGCAACCTAATTTCACTTTTCCCAACTAATTGAATATTTATATATATATATATATAAATATTTATATTTATATATTTCTGTATATTTTATTTTTATTAAATTTTATTTTATTACAGACGGACTCCAACCATTTTATTAACCAAAATACATAACTTTTAAATAATTAACAATTAATGACCCCCCAATATATATATAAAATAAATACTTCCTACCTTATTTACCATTTTATTAAATAAAAATAATAAAATATTACAATTTTAAATAAAATAATAATCCTAATAATAATTAAAAAATTTCCCCCCTTCATCTATTTTCAGAGCTCCTTCGTCTTCTTCGTTTTTTCAATTTTTATTTATTTTTTGTTTGGCAGAAGAAATTATCTAAAAAAAAAAAAATTTGTGAAAATGGAAGGCAGCAGCAGTGGAGCAGTCACAGTGGTGAGTTCAGATGCTCCCTCCGCCTTCCACGTGGCACCCCGGCCGCCCTCGGAGAAGCCGACGGCCGTCGCTGCGGCGGCGCCGGCGGCCGGAAAGAAGAAGAGGGGGCGGCCGAGGAAGTACGATCAGGACGGCTCACTGGCGATGGCCTTGTCCTTGTCGCCGAGGGTGATTTCCTCCTCCTCCGCCGCCGCGACGCCGCCGGTAATCGACTTCTCCGCCGCCGCGGCGAAGCGCGGCAAAGTCCGGCCGGTCGCCGCCGTGGCGAAGATTCAAGTGCTGAAAACGGAAACGGCGACGGCTGAGAGCTCCGGTAATTGAGAAATTAATTAAATGTTGTTATTGCATGCATGCTTCGATTGATTGATTTGGGGATTTTGTTGATCGATTTTGCCCTAATTTGAAGAACTTCGTGTTGATTGGTTCGTGAATTTGAACAGATTTGGGGGTTTTTGGATCTGAATTCAATTGCTATTTGTTCTTGTTGGATCTAATCTAATCGTATAAAATTAATCGATTTCCATAGATTTGTTTAGTTTGGTGATTTTTTTTTTTTTAATTTATGGTAAAAAAAATTGAAAAGAAATTACTAAGTGAATAGAGCTCATATATATATATATATCATTGTCTTGATATTGTTTTTATGTTCGAATCTTACTTTGATTGACTGAGCTAGGCTGCGTTTAGATAGAGATTTTCACGGCTACTTGTTGATGAATAGTATCAAAACTTTGAAAAGTATGTATGTAAAGAGCAATTTTCGATATGTTCGATGCTTCGATTTTGCGATTTTATCTGATGTTAATGGATTGATTATGAATCCAAAAGTGTGGATGTAAAGATAACATTTTCCGATATGTTCGATGCTTCGATTTTGCGATTTTATCCGATGTTAATGAACCGATTATGAATGATCCAAAAGTGTATGTAAACAAAGAAATTTTTGATGTGTTCGATGCTTCGATTTTGCGATTTTAACCAATGATAGAATTTTTGATGTGTTCGATGCTTCGGTGTTGCGATTTTAACCAATGATAGCATTTTCGATGTGTTCGATGCTTCGATTTTGCGTTTTTAACCAATAGTAGCATTTTCGATGTGTTCGATGCTCGATTTTGCGATTTCAACCAATGATAGTATTTTCGATATGTTCGATGATTCGATTTTGCGATTTTATCCGATGTTAATGGATTGATTATGAATCCAAAAGTGTTTATGTAAACATAGCATTTTTCAATTTGTTCGATTCTTCAATTTTGCGATTATGTCTGATGTTAATTATCCAATCATGAATGTCCAAAAGTGTCTATGTAAATATAGCATTTTTCGATGTGTTCGATGCTTCAAATTTGCGATTTTATCCGATGTTAATGGATCGACTTTGAATGGGGCGTGCTCTCAAAATCTTGATGATCTTCCGGTATTTCATTGTGTAGGTGAATGGGGTTCGTGCTCGGTAGGCGCTAATTTTACGCCGCATATTATCACCGTGAATTCTGGAGAGGTAAAACGGCGAGAAACACCGTACTTGTGCTTTATAGTTTGTCTCATAGTTATACTTATCAAATGTGTATCTATAAGATTTTTATTGCAACCAATATTATTTTGGTTTCGACGATATTTTTTTTATCTGAAACATTTCTTTTCGTCGAATTGTATTTTGTTTTTGTTTGTAGGACGTCACGATGAAGGTCATATCTTTCTCGCAACAAGGTCCCCGTGCGATATGCATTCTCTCGGCTAATGGTGTTGTTTCGAGCGTTACGCTTCGCCAACCCGACTCTTCGGGAGGCACACTGACATACGAGGTACCGTCGTTTTTCTTAGCTCTTGTGATAACGCATTTCTCTTATTAGACAACATTAATTCCTCAACTATAATGTTTCGAACATGGATGATATTGTTGGGATCTTTTTCGGGTGTGTTTGTTTGAGAGTTTGGATTTTGAATTGAAATTTGAATAGTAACAGTTTGGAATTAGAATAGTTATAAGATGTGATGTTTTGAATGTAAAATTAAAATTTTTAGTATAATATAAAAAATAAAAAATAGTGATGTGATTTGATGTTTTCTGAGAGAAAAACATTAATAAATAGTTCTCCCTCCATCTGTCTCTAATGGTCACATTTACCTTTTGCATCATTGTACTTGATATTAAAAATATCCTTATATTTGTATAATTTTTTGTACAAATGTCTTCTATTAGTATTATAAGACACCCATGAAAGTATTTTTGTAATTTTTTCTTAATTTGTAATACGTTTTGATATAATAATTTTTATTCAAAGATCAACACGCAAAAAGTAAATGAGATCCTTAGAGCCGGACAAATGTAGTAGAAATTTTGGAAAGCTTGTTAAACAAACACACCCGTAAAATACGATTGCCAAGTTTAAATACGGTATATCTCGATTTATAAATTGTTCGCATCATCGTAATTCTTTCGTGTAGGGTCGGTTCGAGATCCTCTCGTTGTCGGGATCGTTCATGCCGTCCGAGACGGGAGGAATGAGGAATCGATCGGGGGGTATGAGCGTCTCTTTAGCTAGCCCCGACGGGCGTGTAGTAGGGGGCGGAGTCGCCGGTTCGTTAGTAGCCTCAAGTCCAGTTCAGGTAAAAAAAAAAAAGTGATAATTGAATATATAAATACACAGATATGCACAAATCGAAATCTGTCGATTAACGATACTCGATCTCGACCGTAGATTGTGGTGGGGAGTTTTCTGGCATCGGGGACCCAGATCGATCCTATCAAACCAAAGAAGCCGAAGCCCGAGCTCCCGCCGACGAGCATAATCCCGATTGGCGGTGGTGCCGTCGTTCCCGTCTCGAGTGTGGGTCCTGCGGCCCCTTTGTTCCGCGGAGATAGCTGGTCGTCGATGCCGACTCCCGATCCTAGCGGTAAGCCCGTTGGCGTTAATGTAGGCGATGCTTGATGATGTCCGTATCGAAGAATCGGGACATCATCGTACAAAGACATGACTTAAAGGATGAAGATTGCGATCTCTCCCCGACCGCATCTTCCGATCGATCGGGTGATGAATCCGGCGGTCCGCCGGCTCCGGCCACCGGTGGCCGGAATCCGGCCGGAGTTTTTGTGGGTTCTATGGTTGGAGAGAGATTTTAGACTCTTCATGGTTTACTTCTTTTTCAAATTTTCAAAATTTGCATATACTTTGGTTTCTCTATTTTAATTTTAAAAAAAATTAGGATTGATGGTTGTTGGAGCTGCTCTTGAATTTATATTTGTACAAGGAAAGAAATTTATCTATTGATTATTGTTTATTTAAATATTTTATTCAATATAAAAATTTATTTTAGAAAATTCAAAAAATAATAGTATAAAATATTGAACTAAATTGAAATAGAAAGAATCTATTTTTTATTTTATTTTTATTTTTAAAATAATATGTTGATATACCTATTTTCTTAATAATAATTTTTTAAAAAATATCAAATCAAATATTTATTATTTTTGACAGTTTATTTACAATAGTTATACATTTTTATTTAGCAGCAATTTATTTTACCACTCATTGTAAGTATTTATCTTATTATATTTAATTACACAAATGCGATTATATTATTTTACATATTAATTAAAAAAACCAAATAAAATAAATAAATTATTAAACCTAACTACATTTTAACAAAAATTGTATATTTAATTACACAAAATGTGATTATATTATTTTACCTATTAATTAAAAACCAAATAAAATAAATAAATTATTAAACCTAACAACATTTTAACAAAAATTGATAAACACATCTAATGGAATAAATCTAAATCAAATCACCTAATCTGAATTTATCAAAGCTAAAACAAAATTAAAAACATACAAAAAAAAAAAAAAAAAAAAAACAATTTTTCTATTCAATGTGTTCTCTGTATTATCTCCTTTCTCCAATCACGAAGCCTATTCGATCCATGGTGAATTTTGATGGAAAATCGGTGGTTGAAGTGGTGCCGTGCACTTCCCTACACGGCCGGGCAATGTTAGTTTGTTTTGCTTGTGCAGTGGCAACGGCGGAGTTGATGCTTCGTTTCGCCAATTAATTTTTATATATCCGTGGTGCTAGAGACTTGTAGGTCGTTTTTCAGTGATGTGGTTTCATATTGTCCTAACTCTATACCTAAAATGCTCGAATTTTCCCTTTTTAGACTTACTCATTTTTAGATCGGTGGTGTTAGAATCATGTGGTTTATGCGATGATTTGGCTGTGCCAGACTCCAAGAATGAATTCCATTTATCGTCTTCAGTGCCTAAAATTGAACCGGTGGTGAGGCAAATACTTCGGTTAGGGTCCCTTATGTCGTGCTTTTGAGGTTAAGTTAATGTTCTTGAAGATTCACTGTCCTCCGGCCTTGACTAGTCCATAATACATTGAGGTAAAATTGTTTGTTCATTGATTTATTGTATTCTATTCTAGCATGTTAAGTAATAGGGAAAATTGATTCATAAATTACAATTTCTCATATTCATCACATGTCAAAACATGTCATTTTTTTGGATGACGTAAGAATCCGTAGCCGTTATCCGAAAATATGCATTAGATAAACCCCCGGTTGAATCTAATACCCTGCAACTAGGCTTGATGGAAAGGTCACACTAAACGAACTATGTGTGGCAAGTGACCTGAGGCGTCGGAGGTTTATTTGTATCATGTGTTGTGTACATTGCTTTGGATAAGTCTTACAGAGTTCGGTCTCTCAGGCGCCAAACAATATCTCTATATTTATAAGGTGACTTTCTGTGGGAAAAATAATGTATTGTATTGGAGAAAAAGTATGTTTAGTATAGTGGAGAAAATATATAGGAGAAAAAAGAATATATGTGATTTAAGTAAATATTAAAAATATTTTAATATTAGTGATAAAAAAATAAATATTTTTGGATAAAACAAATAAAAATAATACTTTCAAATGAGAAATAAAAGGTATAAACAAATAAATCTCATATTCAACTACTATTTTACTTCCCAAATTGAACAAAGCCGTGTGTGTTTCTTTAAAGTTTGGATTAGGTTGAATTGGTTAAAATTTTAATTTAAATAATATTGATGTGATATTTATGCAAAAAAAAAATAAATATATGAATTGTAAAATTCAAAATAAAATATTAAAACGAAACTTCAACAAGACACAACATTTATAACTATACAAATAATTAATCATATTACAATTTGATAAAGATAGTAGTTACGTATCACTATTAATTTATAATAACACTTTAATACTTACGGCCTTTTTATTGGTTTAACTTCAATTTTTTATTATAAAACTATTTCAATTTCTTATTAAATTATAATACTATTATTTTCTTTCATAGTATTACTATTATTCAAACAGAAAAAATAAAATAAAATAAAATAAAACTCGAAAATAATACCTGCAATGGCTACCATTGAAGATAAAATAATAATCAGTCACATGACATGATTTTCTGCAACTACTCTACAACTGCAAAAGCAAAAGGATTCATTACTCACGGATGAGGTATAGTGCCAATAATACAAATAAAATATAAATACATAAAATTACTCTAACTCCCAAATTATTTCCAAATCCGGCTTAAAATTTTCTTATACTTTAAAAATTGACAACATATGAAATATAAATCAACAGCACAAATATATTATAAATTCATCACACATGAACTAACAATAAAAATTTGCGCATGTGGTATATCCTATACAAGCACATATTATCATCAGTTTCATCCCATGCTATTAATTGGTATTAATTGAATCTACGTGCTGACAGTCTATTTTGGATTAATCAGCACCCTAACCATTCGCCGTTAATAAAAATTCAGATAAAAAATCGGTTAAATTACTTACCGTGTAGCTGTGATCTTCCATGGCCTCCCTCTTCCTGTTCTTTCGCCTAATGGGAATCCAAATAATCACCTACACTTTCGAAACATTACGAACAAAACCTTCATAAATCAACCATATTCATAAGCATTTCAGAGACTTCATGACGCCCTTTCTAGTTGGAGACACTAAAAGTTACTCGACAAAAGCATGCAAACCAAGCGGGGATGAAGAGCTCAGGAATTGGATTTAGAAAGAGGTAAAGATTATGCATCAAGTAATCACCATAAAATTAAATTTTTGCAGAATTTTGGAAAATTTTGAAAAAGGGTTTCTAATTAGTTAAAGAAACCCCTCAACTCCGTGTCCAGCTTTAACTTCTCGGTATATGGATAAGGCTTCTTCCATGACTTTAGCTTGAGCAAGTACTTGAGCTCTCTTCTTCCCTGAAGGATGAGTCGCTAGATAGTTTTGCAATGCTGAATCCCCGACAACTTTACCCAGCTTCTCATAAACCTGGGGGGCTACCCGGGGATCATATCCTGCCGATGCAATCAGCAGCAATCCAATGTAATCTGCTTCCATCTCCATCCTGGAAGAAAGGAATGTATTTAGATGAAATATCTTGGAACATGATTAAGCGCAGAATGGAACAACCGGTTTTTAATGTGTGTTCCCTTTGCAATATAAACAAGAAACACATTAAAGATATTGCAATTTTCGAACACAGGAAATTGAAATATATATGTGTATATAATCGAGAGGTGTAAAAGAAACTAAGTTAAAAGGAAATGGCTTCTTTTAGGGTGGTTTGAGTAGAGAGTTTCTTAGTTGTGTTTATTATATCGCAGTTCGCACAAGTTAAATGTTCGAAATCTATGAAAGTCACAGGGAAAATTTACACCAGTTGTCAAAACAGTTTTCTGAAATGCTCAAGAAAACCATTCATCTTGAAGCAAACTACCAATTCCAATAATTAATTTTGCTGAGTTTACTATACAAAATCAAAGCCTATTTATGATAGACATTTGGGATCTTAAAGGAGAGTAGGTGTTCTTATAACATTCCTCACCTTAGTATAAACGGTATTTGAACAAAAATATGTAATATCATGTTCTTTAGTTGTACATTCCTCCCATTAGTATAAACGGTATTTGAACAAAAATATGTAATATCATGTTCTTTAGTTGTAACAAAAATTGCAAAATTGCAAGATTGCAAACTTGTGACAAACTACTTACCACGTGCTTAAAGGAGTCACTCAATAAGTTATAGCCTATTTTTGTTACAAAAATAGTTCATTTCAATCAATGTGCCAATGCTAGTTTATTTCATTTATAAGTTATAGCCTATTTTTTATTCTTCTTCTTGTTTAGAGTAAGGATAATTTGCGGCCTAGTGAAAAACTTCAGACATGATTTGAGTTGCCATCTAGAGTTCATGTCGTTGTGGCCAATTTTGGTTCTAATAATTATTGGTTCTTTCTATGTCCACGGAGCCATTACTTTCTTGCTGCAATAAAGTTATAAAAACAAGATCTTGAAGATAATTCACTCAGTTTACACAAATATGCAGTCCAACTAGAAAATGCAACCTATTTAAATGAGCAATTAAATAACACAAGTGGCATGACAAGAGAGAACAGACAACAAAATAACGCGGAACATTATATGACCTTCGTGAAAAAGGCAGCCTCAAGAAGAGATTCGACAATGTGTTGACGACGTCAGGCATGAAAAACTGGTAAAGAAAAACCTGTAAGATGGTCCACCATAGGTTTTTCGAAATTTGTTCGGCAGTGTGTCTAGCCACAGCATGAGCAACCTATAGAACAATCAATGGAAATTTCATCAGGCATAAAATCAGAAGTATCCACATATCCAACACACGCACCAATAACTAAATACCTCATGCCCAATAACAGTGGCAATCTCGGCATCCGTTTTAAAATGCTTTAACAACCCGCTGAAAACAACAATTTTACCGCCCGGCAAACAAACAGCATTTATCACAGGTTCATTAACCACAATGATCTCCCAGTTTAACCCTTCTAAATGTGCAGTCTCCGTCGCCTTCCCCTTTTCTTGGCCCTTTTTTCTACTCTGCACAACCCATTGATCATCGAGTATCTCCTCATCCTTCTGCCATTTATCCTCACTAGGCCATTTCTCCTCCTCGGAAATTCCTTCACTAGTATCACTCATTGCTGTTACCATTTCCGGGGCCCGATTCTGCTGAGGCAATGCTGCTGCACTCTCCGCAGAATACATTATATCACTCCACACTTGCTCTTTACTCAACCCTCTCTCAAGAGCCCCGATTATTTCCTGCGATATTCGCTGAATTCGAATGCTTTCCGGGTGAAGTGGAGGCAGCATTTTGCCTTTGAACTGTGCCTTAAGCTTCTTGAACTCTGACTCCCCAAGCTCCTTCTCAATATTACTTGATAAAAGCACGAAATGTGTCCTTTTCGTGTAAGGCACAGTCTCTAAATTCCCCATATACACAGTGATTACAACAACAGATCCCACCATTACCACAATCAACACATTTTTGGGATTCTGAAACCATCTTTTGAATCCCCTTGGCTTGAAGTGATGAACCATACGCCTGTCCACATAATAAAACCTCCTTGCCCCATCCATAAATGGACTCTGCCATTTTCCAGAATGCAAATGAGATTGCCTCAAAATAGGCTGCGAAATCGAAGAAATTCTTGCCCTAGGTCTCGAAGAAGCAGCGTTGAAGTCTGGCCGTGGAACTGATTTCTCGATTGGGACTTTGGGCACCGCGATCTTCGAACAGTGGCTGCGAAACGAATCGAAAATGAATTTCGATGGTCTTCTACACCAACTCATGGTGTCAATTAATCGCGCAGGCGTTCATCTGGCAAACAACAATCAGGAAAGTTCATTAGGGAAACGAAGGTACGGTGAAACCTTAACGATAAATGACTAATTGAGAAAAATCAAAAGCCCACCAAGAATGCTTTATCAAGGTTTCGATCAATCAGAGAAAGGAAATCTGAAACGGTGAACTGCTGGAAAGTTCGGAAGAGCTTTCGAGGCGGTGGTGGAGTTTCTCACCGTTGGATCAAGCGTCAGTATTTTATTTTTTATTTTTTAAAAATAATTTTATACATGGAGTATAAAATTATTTAAATAAATAGGCAATACAAAGTTTGACATACTGCAGCCGTTTAACACGCCCGTGTTCTAAAGAGTACATGGGCGATGCGCATTTAACACGCCCATGTTCTACACAGAAATATCCTTTCACCTAAGTTAAAACTTCTCTCAACAGTAAATTTCCAGAACAATAATTATTTTCACAACTGTAAATTCAATTTTCTCAAAACGATAATCATAGACCTGATAAAGTACAAGTCTCAAGGTTACCTAACAAAAAAGTGCCTCCAATTCTATATTTTTTTCACAGCGGAGTAAATATTTACGAAATTACGAGTAAGTTACGGACAATTTTGCTAGCAAAAAGTAACGAGTTTGGTAAGAGATATGTACATTACAAGAATACCGTACTCGTACCTGATCGATACTCGAATAATTAGACCCGATCCGAATGGAACGAATCGATGGGATTCGTCGCCATCCCGCAAAGATCCAATTCAGTGCTTCATCTGCAACTTTTTAGCTCTAGTGATGCATTGATCCAACGTCGTAATAGTCCGGGTATCTGGCTCGATTCCCTTCGACAACATCTCATTCACAAGATTAGTAGCCCTATAAACATCCCCCATCTTGCAATAACCCGACAAGAGAGCAGTGTACGCCGCAGTATCAGGCGACAAACCTCGTCGCAACATATCATCGAAAAGCGAAATCGCATCGCGAAGGTTGTCCGATTTGCACTGGCTGTCGATCAAAGCCGTATACAAAATAACGTCCGGTTCTAATCCCGCCTCTTTCATGTCATACAACAGGGCTGAAACGACCCGTCTCGCCTTCTTAATCGCCTCGGCATCGTCTTGCGACTGCGAACGAGCCCTTTTCGAACGTACCTTCGAATGTCCGTCGAGCAGGACCGTGTATGCGACGACGTCGGGCATAATGCCGCTTTCCCTCATGTCATTGAACAGAGAAAAAGCTTCCTCGACGCGATTCACTTGACAATAACTCCTCAACATTACGCTGTACAAAATCGCGTCGGGAGATAATCCCCGATCGATCATCGTATCAAATGCCCATCGAGCGTTTTTCATATCTCCGGCGTGACATAGAGCCGTAATTAGCTTCACGTACATTGCCTTGCTCGGTCCATCGCCGCAAGAAATCAAAATCTCGAACACCTTTATCGCTAGCTCGTTTTCTCCTTCTGAACAGAGGCTGCTAAGAAGCTTCAAACACGATCGCTTATTTGTCAAAATTCGTTGTTCGGATAATCCGAGAAAAAGTTTATACCCTTTGATTGCTTCACTCGACTCGCAGTACCCGTTAATCATCGCAGAAAAGTTATCGACACTCTTCTCTTTCAAACTACGGAAATGCCTCTCGGCTTCTTTCGATTTTCCTCCGACGCAAAGACCTTCGATTATAACGTTGTCCGTCACCGCGTCCGGAACAAATCCTTGCCCTTTCATATCATCCACAAAGTCGTATACTTCATCCAAAGTCGCGCACCGAGAGAACATACCAACGAGGAGGTTATAAATAACATCGTCAGCTTCGACACCGTTTCTCTTCATTTCAAGAAATAATGATAGAGCATCGACAATCTTTCCTTGTCGACAGTAACCATTTACCAAAGTGGTATAATGCACGACATCGGGTATCAGTTTCTTACACTTCATCGCACCGAACAAAGCTTGAGCTTCGTCTAAATCGCCCATTTTGCACAGAGCATCGATTGCAACGTTGTGGGCTGCTTCATCAAGAAACACCCCTGATTTCTCGAAGCTCCTGAATTGCTCGACTGTTTCAGAATACTTTCCTTTCCCACACAAACACCGAAGAAATGAAGTGAGGATCAAGCAATTCAATTTCACGCCTTTCGCCTCCATTTCTTCGATAATAGTCCACGCCCTGTTTAAATCCCCGGAATCGCAATACCCCTGAACTAAGGCATGATACGCGACTTCATCAGGAACTAATCCATGTTCTTCCATGTCACGCAACACAATCTCGGCTTTACTCAAATTCTTTTCACTAACAAAGCCCTGAATCGCAACACTATAAGCGTAGCCGTCAATGGGGAAAGCTTTCGCCTGCCAAGCTTTTAAAAGCTCGTAGCCGTATTCCGATTCCCCACACTTACACCACCCCTCTAAATAAGCTGCATATGTAAAAGCATTTGGCGCAACCCGCGCTTGCTTCATCTCATAGAACACCTCTTCTGCCTCTTTCAAACTACCCTTTCGACAATATGCCTTGATCACAATCCCGTAAGTGTACACATTTGGATTCAGCCCGAGACATCTCAGCTGCTTATAGACAGCAATGGCTTTCTCCACTTTACCATCAACAACCAACCTATTGATCAAGAAATTGCACGACAACAAACAAGGCGCGACGCTATACATCTTAATTAGATAAAGAACGTCGATTGCCTCGTCGAACATCCCTAAAGAGGCATAACACTTAACAACAGCACTAAATGCTTGATGCATCGACCTCGGTCCATTGCCTTTAAGCTCTTCGGCCATTGTTGCCAACAGCTCCAACAGATCAAAACTAACACAGTCATCTTTGGAGGTTATAAGATTCACAAACAGATTACTCAATTTCCTATCCAAGCCCCAATAACACAGTATTTTGATAATTTCTAGATAACTCCAGATGCTATGGCGAAAACCGCTTCTTCTAAGGTTATCGAAGTAAGCTAACGCGGAAGACGGTTCCTTACGCATTTTGTTTAGAATCTCAACAACGTTAGAGGAATTTGATTCCGATGAAATTTCTGTTTCACAATTTCTACTGGAATCATCAGAACTGTAAGGAGTGAAATGTGCAAGCGACGGAACTGACAGCAATCGGATAAATTGAAGTTCCCCGAAGAGCTTTTTGAAAGGAACTGACCTAATTGTAGAGATGACCTTGTTCTTCATCCCGCATAAGCAAATTCAGCTCCCGAAAGGTCGGAGGCTGCACAGAGAGGAAGTCGCCGTTCGACTCACGCCGGCTGATTCGATTAGCGCGGTAGACGCGTGAAGTCGGTTGGGGCAGGTAGAGGTGGATGCTGGTGACGTCGCGTTGGGGCAGAGAGTTTTACAGTGGAAGGTGGCTGCGTTGCAGAGGCGATGTCCGATGGGGAAAAGCGCGGCGTCGTCGTCGGCGGCGGCGGCGGCGGCTAGGGATGGTGGCGATAGACCGCCGGCGCCTCAGCTTTGAGGGTAAATAATTGCTTATGGTGAATTGGATTATGGTTTTATCTGTTGTGTCAAAAAAGTAAACCCAGACCCAAAAATACTGAACCCTTTCGACCCGAAATTTTTCAGGTTTAGGTTTGAGTTTGGGTATTTCGGGTTTAAAAAAAATCGGTCGATTCGAACTTGAAATAAAAAAAATTCGTGTCTCGGGTAGTGTTTCGGGTTGACCGATAACCTAAAATATAAAAATCAAGTTAAGTTTTGGGTTTCGTATTTTGGATTGATATGAAACTTTTATTATTATTATTTTAATTTATAATATTTATATTATTTTAAATATAAAATAATATAAAAATAAAAATAAAAATGATATTTTTTAGGTCAATTTAATTTTTTAAAAATTTTCGAGTCAGTTTCTGTCGGTTCGTATGGGGTTTGTGTGGGTTTCGGGTCACCTGAAACTACTTCAGATCAACCTGAACCCAACCTGAAAAAATTCGTGTTGTATTCGGGTCTAGGGTTTCAGGTTAGATTTCGAGTTCGAATCGGGTTCGAATTAGCAATTTTTTTGTTATCCCTATGGCTCAACCTGACACAAACACGACCCAAAAATACGAATCGACACCCCTAGGTTTTATACTACTCCCTCTCAGTCCCACTTCAAGTTCATTTTTTTATTTTTTATTTTTTTAAAAATAAATTAAAATATTTTATGTTAAATTATTAAACATATATAATATATACATTATATATATTTATATAATGTATTTTTATATTCTCTCCGTCCCATGTAATATGAGTGTACTACGTAGACACCAGAATTTAGGTAAAATATAATTAATAGTAATTAAGAAGTGTATTAGTTCAAATAATTATTATTTAATAAAAATAATTATAAATTAAGATTAAAATAAATAAATAGTTTAATTAAAATTAAGAAAATTATAAATTTTAAAATTTAAAATGCGATTAAAGTGCATAATTATATTTTCAAAAATAGAAATAACAAGTTATGTAGGGCGGATGAAAATAAAAAATAGAAAAAAATTATGTAGAATGAAAGGAGTAATATTCATGAAATTTGATATCACTCAGCAACGACAAAATGAACAAACATAAAACCCTTTTTTATAGTAAATTACTGATTAGTAAATTTGTATAAAATAAAATAAAATATAAAATATCTTTAAATTTATGTATAATATGTGATGTTTTTTAATATAAAGATAAAAATGTGGGTAAATTAGGGAGTGTTCTTTTAATAAAAACAATATATATATATATTTTTTAAAAAATAAAATATTATATACATTCATTATTCCATAGGTTTTTTTTATTATTTATTTAAATTTCTATTACATAATTCTTTATACCAAAAAAATGTTTTATATCACAAAATTATTACAATTTACTATTTAAATTAAATTTTAAATTAAAAATAAAATTAAACACATCCTTTATATATACACATTGAAAGAAATTTTGAAATTTTTTTATTCCATATTTCCATCTTCATTTGTTCGAAAATTACAAGACTTACGACTTCTAATCTCGAACAACAAATCGATAGTTGCAAAAGACATACACTCGTAGATCTTTACAATCTCATCTCATTGCCGTGCCTCCCACGAGCAAATGTGGCCTCATACTGTATGGACGAGTAGTACTAGACGAGAGATCTTTAGCGATCAATCATGTTCCTCGAGTATGTTATATATCATCCTACGATAAAATAATACACAAATACATAACTCAATGACAAAAAATAAAAATTAAAAATTAAACAATATAAAAAAAGAAACTTTTTAAATATTATTAAATTAAGAGTAAGTTTGCGCTTTCGATGTTTACTCACCAGAACAAACACATAAAGAGAATGAACATGATGTAGCCTAGCTTGATAAATCGTCGTGTCTTTTCCTTAGTGAGCTTGTTATATATCTCGGTTATGTCGATTAAGTGATGTCGCTTACGATACCTAGATAAAGAGAATACCCAGTTAAAAAGTACGACTTTATAAAAATTAAGTAAAATAATTGAGATATGTATGTAAAGTTGCGCTTTCTGGTCTTATTAAGAGTTCTTATTTATATTTTTGCATGATAATAATATAAAAATTCAAGTACAAGATTGTTTATACGATATCCTTTTAAAAAGATTAATCTATTGTTATCCAAAGTTGGATTAGAATTATATATTTAAACACTTGATTTATATATAAAAAAATTAATATTTAATCAACAAAAAATTTCCCAAAAATATGAGTGTGTTTATTTTGTGAAAATATTGAAGGGATATTTTTTCAGATGATGTATAAAAAATTGTATAGGTAATATATAAAAATAATGAATATATATAGTATATAAATTATTTTAGAAAATATGTGTGAGATTTCATAAAAAGAAAACACCACAAAAAATTTAAATGGATATAACTATATTTTTTTTATTAAAAAAGATATAAATATAAATGTTTTGTTCTTCCAACAAAAATTTTCAACATATTTTTCCCAAAAAATAATATATTGCACACACTCTTTATTTTTATATTATATTACGTACACAATTTTTCGTACCTCACATAAAAAATACTATCAAAATATGAGGGTGTGTTTGTTTAATGAAATTATTTAAAGAAATATTTTTTCATGTGAGGTATAAAAAATTATGTAAGTACCATAGAAATAATTAATGTGTATAATATATTATGTTTTATTTTAAAAAATACGAGGTATAGAGAATTGTGTAAGTAATATATCTGCAATGTGAAATTGATGTAGCATTTACTTCTAATTTGGATTTTTCTTTGAGTCATTTGAAAATTTGAGAGTAGTAAATAATGGTGGAATGCAATTTTTGTGTAGAATATTAGAGTTAAAAAGAATTTTTCTTTGTTTATTTTTCTAATTATAATTTTTTTAGTATAAAAATAATAATGAAAAAAAAATATTATAAGTGAACTTACAATATGAAATTGTAGTATAGAAGAGGAACACCAAGAAGAAACATGACCAAATGCCGCGTCGCAAGGAAGAGGAAGCACAAAACTCCGTACGTAATGAACTCGGGTACAATCACGCCGTTTATTTTATTCCCCAATTCATAAGGATTGATATAATCGAGCTCTAGATCCGTCAAACATACGAGCTAAAACATGTCGAGCATAATTGTAAAAATTTTCGATATATGCATAGAATTAAAGTCATGATTACAACATCGTCGAAGGTTGGAAAAAGCAACCTACGCCTTCACAATTCTATTCTTAGCTATGATATTCGATACGCTGAATCCAAATTATAAATTTGAAAATAATTTAATTTAATATTACACTATTATCTAAATTAAAAATGTAAAAATTTTCAATTAGTTCTATTCAAATCAATATATATTTTATGTTTATTACGGTGTATTTAATATATACTTTTATTTAAAATATTTATTATTTCTAAAATAAGTCAAAATAACAAACTTATTATAGCTAAACAAACCTCGGATAAAACACCATCAATATATATATTTTTTTTTCTTCCAAAACCCACAAATAGAGACACAAAAGTTTGCTCTTTTCGAATCTTTTTGATTAATTTTTTACTTTTTAATAATTAAATTTTATAATATCACTAAAAAACCATTGACTATCGTTTTGGAGTTTTTATTTTTATTTTTGGCAATCTATTTTATTTGAAAATTATTGTTACATTAGTCTAATGTTTTTAACTACAAATTTGATTTCAATCTTTATATTATAATTATGCCTTCATTCACTGAAATTCTTACAAAATTAACTATTTTATCTTTCATTCTTCTTACCATGATTATAAAATATCATTTTTTCTTTCAATCTTCTTTCAATCTTTCTTTATAATTTTTATAAAATTAATTATTATTTTTTCTTATAAAATATTAAGTCGAACAATTATTATTCGAAATAAGTGAATAAATTAAAATCAAACTCCAAAAGAACACGTCTATATTAATTAAAGATGGATCGAACCTGGAAAACGAGCATGGCGACGAGGAAAATGAGGAAGAAGAAGAAGACAAGCCATGTCCATGCATCTCCCACCATTCTTACCTCTACTTCTCTATTAATTTTTTCTTGTTTCTTTCTTTATGAATTATTCATTCTGTCTGAATAGAGACAAGAGAGAGAGAGAAATAGAGAGAGAGAGGGATGGGATATATGAGAAGTCCTTGCAGAAGAAACAAAAGAAAAGAATATGCAAAAGCAAGAAGAAGAAGATATGAAAGAGAGATTCTTTCTTTCTTTCTCTCTCTTCTCTCTCTCTCCTCCCTCAATTTCACCTGAGAATAACATAAACCATTCGATGTATTCTTTCATTTCTTGTCTCCATCTCTACAATCGTCCAATACTTTCCTTACATTCTCTTTACTAATTACTATATATATATATATATATATATATTTCCTTAGTCTATATTTATCTATTCAATTGTTTTTTTTTACGGAATTTTAGAAATATTAATATATATAGTAGAAATAAAGGTAAAAAGACTAAACTAACTTTATCAGTGAGTCTTGTACGATATAAAAGTAATGACGTTTGTATAATATATTGTAAATTGAAAGAATATTTGTAATATTAGATATATAGTATAGCTAATAAAAAAGAAAATGAATATTTTGTTACGAAACGGATCAAAATAGAAAAATAGATAGATTGTTAAGGGATGGAGGAAATATATATTTAGACATAAATGGTTTTTTTTTTCCTTTTTTTTTCTCAATTGTTTCAATAAAATGTATATACTCCTATATATTTATAAAATATTATAGCCTAGTTCCGCCACAAATAATTTTTTTTTCTTTTTTTTTTGTATGTTTTATAAAAGATAATCTATTTATATTTTTGTAAGTTTATCAATCTTAAATATAAGACAAACTAGCAAAAAAATCCAATGTGATTTCCGAATTTGCTGAAACCCACTGTGGTTCTAAAACTCCAAAAAATCTACTTGTGGTTTCCAAAATATTGCAAAAAATCCCCCATCCGCTAGGATTTAACAGAGGTTGTATATCACGCGCCTGAAATACAATTTTTGATCCATAAAATGATATATTTCTGTATAAAATTTCTAAATTAGCTTAATGACTATTACAGCAGCTTCTTCCTCATTCTTCTTCCTCATTTTCTTCTTCTTTATTATTCTTCTTCATTCATTCTTCCGCATACTTTTAAAATTTAATTTCAATTCATTTTTTTTTTTAATTTTAAATCCGCTAAACACAACCAAATTTGAAATCAATTCCAAATTTATAACATAATTAATTGATCGGACATGGACATGAAGATGGAGCGGAGTAAGGAAGAACTGGGAAAAAAAGAAGAATTGAGGAGGAAACATAAAGAAGAAAAAAAATTGAAAAAAAAGAAAAAAGAAAAAAAAAGGTCCAGCTTCTTTCTCTATCTTCTTCTTCTTTCCCTTCTTTTTTTTCTTCTCTTTCTCTTCTTCCTTCATTCTTCTTCCGTGCTCAGCCGCTTCTATCCGTGGTTTCTTTCTCTTCTTCTTTTCCAATTCTTTCAAAGAAGGATTGAAGAATGAAGAAGAAGAAAAAAGGAATTGGAGAAAAATAAGAAAATAAACAACCGGGTGGGGCTGCGACGACGTGAGAAAGAATTGAAAAAGAAGAAAAAAATTTGAGGAAAAAGTAAAAGAAAAAAAGAATTAGGAAATAAATTAAAAAATATATAAATAAAGTATAACTGTCAAATGTAATAAAATTTAACGACTTTGGTCAAATTTAGAGAAGAGGAGAGTCAAGTACATTTTTTGGAAATTTAAAACTAAAAAGAGTTTTCAGCTAATTGGGAAAACCACACGGGTTTTTTTGTTGTTTTTCCTAAATATAATTAATAAATATAAATAAATTTAATTAAATATATAATCTCTTGCATTCTTACATGTAAGGCACATTAATTTTTTTTTTAAATTTTTATTAACAAATACTTTTATCTATCTTTACAACTTTCAATTTTTTTTTATAAAATTAATTTATTTATGATAATTATAAATAAATAAATATATTTTTCATTTATTTGTCTTATATAAAATTTTATTTTCTACAAAATGATATTCATATTATATATATATTTTATTAATTGTTATCTTTTAATCAATATATAATATATTTCTATTATACACAATCATTAAATAACTATTCATCACTATATAAATAATTAATCTATACTAATAATCAAAATTTCCGTTTGTCTTTCTAATTTAATATTTTTCAAATATAGAAAACCTAAACTTAAAATAATTATATTGAACAATCGAACTAATATTTGTAATAATAAGTTTTTTTGTTAAATCATTAAGAATAATCTATTATTTAAATTTTCAAAATTATATCTATATAATACTCCTTCCGTCCCATATACCGTGTCTGCTACACGGTATTTTAAAAGGGATGTAATTAGTAGATAATTAAGAATGTATTAGTAAAAATAATTATCTTATCATATAAATAATTATAAATTAAGATTAAGATAACTAATTAGTTTAATTAAAATTAAAAAGTTTAAAATGAGATTACCTTTTCGATTTTTACTATAACAATACTCATTACCTTTAATAAAAAATACAGTTATTCTAAATTTATTACTTTTTATCAATAACCGGTTACTTTCAACAAAAGTAATAAAAATTAATTAAGTATTATCTATTTCTTTTGAAAATTTAAAATTTAAAATTTTAAATTCAATAAACATTATCTATAAATATATTTAAAACTCATTAACCAATTATAACGTTTTATCTATCATATTTTATAATTATTTTATTTGATTTCTAGTATTTCCTATTCAAATTTTAAAATAGTAACTTATATGCTTCAAATTATTAAAATCTACCCGAATTAATATTTAAAAATTAAAATATAATATTATATAAAATTATATAGAACTATGTACAAATAAATAAATTATTTTTATTATATTACTACATAATAAAAATATATAAAAATAAATAAATTATTGTAGGTATTATAAAATAATAAAAATAATGGGTTGAAAGTAATTAACTACAACGGATGATAAAAAAGGTAATTTGAATATTAAAATGAATATGACATAGATGAAAAAGATAAAAAATAATAATAAATTAGATGTAACGATTATACCATATGCTCTTGTGATAAAATTAGTGTTTGGATCACATTGAAAGTTAAAGAAGTATAGACCTTGGCCCGAGATGAAGATTGAACGAAGCCCAAAGCAAGGCCCGTCCAACCACGTAAAATATAAAATATATTTTTTTGTACTAAAAAATTTGTTATAATTCAAAATAGTACATTCCGACGTCCCAATTCAAATTATCTTTTTTTTTATTATTATTTTTGTTTGTCTTATTTCAAAGTATTCATGTTCAATTTATAAAAAAAATAATCATATCTAATACCAAAATACCCTTATTTTTTGCTTAAATTATACCATTATACGTACAATTACTTTGTATAAAAAGTCAGAAGACAAAAATGTCAAAATCTATTACACACCTCCATTAACCAATAAAATACTACTCCCTCCGTCCCATAACTATGTATCCATTTGCTTTTTGTACAGGGTTTTAGAAATATTAGTATTATATTGGGGTATATTAGGATAAAATAGAAATGACTAAAATGACTTTATTAGTATTGTGTGATATAAAGGTAATGATATTTGTGTAAACCCTAAATCCTACTCCCTCCGTCCCTTAACAATCTAATGATATTTCTATTTTGGTTCATCCCATAACAAAGTATCTTTTTGATTTTTTTAGTAATTGTACTGTCTACCTAACATTACAAATACCTTTCCAATTTACAATATATTACACAAATGCCATTACTTTTATATCATACAATACTAATAGGATTAATTTAGTCCTTTTACATTTATTTCTACTTTATCCTAATATAATATTAATATTTTTAAAACTCCGTGCAAAAAACAAATGGATATATAGATATGGGAGGGAGGGAGTATATTGAAAGTTGTAAGGATATTTGTAATATTAGGTAGATAGTACATTTACTAAAAAAATAAATAAATATTTTATTATAAAACAGAACAAAATAAAAAAATAAATATTTTATTATAGGACGAAGGAAATATTATTTTTAAATTTACTGCAAAACCCCTAAAGGTCCCTTTAAAAATGGATGGAAGGATTATCATTTTTTTATATTAACTAAATAATTCTTATATATGTCATAAAAAAAAAAAAACACATCAAAACACACAACACAAACACATTAAACAGAAGAAAACTATAAATAAAAATAAATTGTAAAAAATTCACGAATATCTCCTTCGTAATTTTATTTTTGTGTTTGAATTTAAAATAATAAAATTTTAAATTTTAATAATTATTTAATGTAATATAAATGAATAAATATGAATGTTAATTTAAAATTAATTTTTAATATAATATAAAATAAAATAAAAGTATAATTTGGTATTTAAAAAAATGATAAATAAAAAAAGTCTTTAAGAAAAAGTCTGACCAAACTCAATTTTAAATTATACTTTTTGCGTCTCGTTACAATTGATATTATTTTTATTTTTATTTGTTTTTATAATAATTGATACATCAAAATATATTTAATAAATATTAATAAATTTAATTAGCTACATAACATATAACATCATAAATCATATACAATCTTATACAAAACTCTTTTATTTCTATCTCTCCTAAAAAAAAAAATAAATTTATATTTATATTTAAAATTCCACATATTTTATAAAATTATAAATAAATAAAAATATTTTTTAATGTACTTGTATTATTAGAAAAATTTATTTTTTACAAAATGATATTCATATTGTATATATTTTTCATTGATATATAATTTTAAACATTTAAATATATTTTTATTTTTTAAAATCATATTATCAAATTTACTTTAAAATTATCAATATTTAATTATATATATAAAAAAATAAGGCAAAATTGCCCATAACTCCCTTGTGGTTTCGAAACTCAGCGTAAATTCCCTATCTACTTTAAAAATTGCATGGTACCCCCTTATACTTTAAAAAATATTGCATGAAACCACTTTGTAGTTTCGAAACTCAGCATAAATCCCCATTTTACTTTTAAAAATTGCATGACGCTCACTTATACTTTCAAAAATATTGCATAAAACCCCATACCATGCAAAACATATAGATAGGAAATCATCTTCTTATCACTTCAGGAAAATTTCATGGTGGTGGGGTTTCATGCAACGTTTTTTAAAGTATAAGGGGGTACCATGCAATTTTTAAAGTAGATGAGGAATTTACACTGAGTTTCGAAACCACAAGGGAGTTATAGGAAATTTTGCCAAAAAATAAAACAATACTCCATTTGTCCCATAGTTAGGTATTCGTTTGTTTTTTGCACGAAATTTTAGAAATATTAGTATTATATTAAAATCTAGTAGGAATAAAGTAGAAATGACTAAAATAACTTTATATTGTATGATATAAAAGTGATGACATTTGTGTAATATATTGTAAGTAGTAAGAGTATTTGTAATGTTAGATAGATAGTACAGTTATAAAAAAAGAAATACTCCATCCGTCTAATTGAAAGGTTACCATTTTCTATTTATGTCCGTCCCAAAACAAAGTTACCATTTCATAATTTATAGTAATTGTACTATCTGCCTAACATAATAAATATCCTTTCAACTTACAATATATTACAATAAATATCATTACTTTTATATTACACCATACTTATAGGAGTATTTTTTTTTACTACAATTTAATATAATACTAATATTAAAAAATCTATGTGCAAAAAACAAATGCCACCATTCCAATGAGACGGAGGGAGTAGATATTATGAGATAGACTAAAACGAAAAAATAAATAATTTGTTATGAAACTGAGGAGTATCATAATTCATTATTATTAATTAATTAAATATTTTAAAATATTGTGTTCTTAATAAAAAAAATTTAACTGTTATAAGACGATAGAGTAATAAATAATCGTAATAATAATAATAATAAATTCAAGATTATAATAAATACACATAAAATAATGGTCGAATTATTGAAATTACTTAAAAAAGATTGCTTGGCCATTGAAGCACTCCAAAGAGCAGCCCGTACACAAAACTTGATTGAACCCATAAGGAGTAAACTCTACGGAAGCCATAAATTCCGGGGTCGGAACCGTGAAGACAAAGAAAACGGAGGACTAAATTGCAAGCCGAGAAAAAGGACATGACAAGTCTATTTCTCCCGTCGTAATCAACACAGTGAATCGCCCAACGGGAATCACTCAGCTCATCAGCTTCCTCTGTCCCTCTCGATCCTCCGTTTCATTTATTGATCGGAGCTCGCAATTCCCCCGCCCTTTGATCGACGGACAGCTCACGCTTTTTGGTTTGTTCGCCTGTATATGTCGGAGAGGAACAGAGATTTTAGGCGAAGGATTCCGGCGAGCCGGAGAGGAGTTACCAGTGGAAAATCTCCGAGGCCGTCGCCGTCGCCGTCGGGTAAGAGGAGGATCAGACCGGTTGAGGCGGCGGGGAAGGTTAGAAATCCGTCGGATAAGGATAGAGTTTTGAAGAGGAGCAAGTCGGAACCGTCGCTGTGGAAGCCTATCGAAAGTGATGAACCTACAGTTGCGGCGGCGGAAGACGCCGCCGCGGAGGAGGAGGAGGATGAAGGAGTGCTTTTCCGTCCGAGAACGTGCACGGACATTTTCACGTCTCCCGACCATTCGACGCCACGATCTCCGGCGAACTGCGCTGAGGTAAACACCTAATTTTGATTGATTGATAATCGTTCAATTGATCGATTGCAGAAATTAGGGTTAGTTTTTCGAATTAGGCGGCCAATTGCATAGTTAATTTGCTTAATTTAGCAATCACGGTTTTTGTCTGTTAGAACACTTATGATGATAGTAACAATCATTGCAAATTTGTAGTTATCGAATTATTTCCAAAAACTGCAAAAAGGAACAAGTTCATCATCTGTATATGGTTCATTTGTTTCTCAAATTTGCCAAACATGGCGGATTGAAGGTTTTCTGGTGTTGGTTGGTTGGCAGGGGTATGACAAAGAAGCCAAGGTTGTGGTAAATGTGACTGTCGAAGGAAGTGTCGGTCCGATCCGAACAATGGTGAAATTAGGATCGAAGATTGAGGATATTATTAGTCTTGTGGTAAAGAAGTATAACGAAGAAGGACGAACTCCTCGTCTAGAAAAAGATTCAGTTTCGACATTCCAACTTCATCAATCTCATTTCAGTCTTGAAAGTAAGCTATTCGATCTTTTTTAACTAGCTACTTGTCGTTGATCGGAATGGAAATGCATCTTTTGAATAAATTTTGTAGATTGGATAAATTTCATTGGCCCCGGATAAGTGTTAATTAATCGATTTGAAAATAGCACGTTCATATTGCTTTTCGTTCATTTCCGCTTTAACATGATGGTATGTGTTGAATTGGTTTATTCGTAATTGTTGTTAATTATATGATTAGATTAGAGTGGACTTTGTCGAATTTGATCTGACTTTTCCGGCATGGATCATATTTCTTAGCATGATGATATGTGTTGAATTGGTTTTTTTGTATTTGTTTTTAAGGGTGTGTTTGTTTGGGGGTTTTAATTTTTTATTGGGATTTAAATAGTAAAAATTTTGAATTTAAATAGTCGTATGATGTGATATAAATAGGCGTTAGATGTGATGTTTTGAATATAAAATTAATTTTTAATATAATATAGAAAATAAAAAATAAAGGTTTCATTTGATGTTTTTGGGAGTAAATTTTTTTGTAAATAGTAGAAATCCGGGAATATCTTATAAAAGAACATACCCTAATAGTATATGATTAGATTAGAGTGGACTTTGTTGAGCTTGACCTGTTTTTTCTTTGGGATCTAATTTTAAATTTTAGGTGTTGTTTACATGATGTGTTTTTTTATGTGGTGCCATTTTAAATTCATTGGAGTTGGCTTTCTTCACAGCGTTTGAATTAGTCTTTTGCCGTCGATTTAGGACAATATTTTTTAGTCTATGCATGTTTCTTCGAACATCTTTAGATTGAGGTCAAGTATAGAAGTTTTGTAGTTTTAAAATTTTTTGAAAATAATACTAACTCCGTCTAGTTCTAAGGGTCTCATTTATTTTTTGTGTATTGATGTTTTAATATTAATTATTATATCAAAACGTAGTACAAATAAAGAAAAAATTGCGAAATATTTCAATTAGTGTCTTATAATACTAATAGAATGACATTTGTACAAAAGATTATACAAATATAAAGATATTTTTAATGTTAAATATAATGAGACAAAAGGTAAATGTGACCCTTGTAGGCAGACTAAGGGAGTAAAATATTAGGCATATGATATGATGTTTTGTGAAATACAAATTAGATTTGATGTGATTTTTTCGAAAAATTACCGTTGATAAATAAATAATGCTAAAAGTATCTATGTAAACAGAGCTATTATTTTTTTCGCCAATCTACATAATTTGTGACAATATATGTGCATCAGCGCGGATTTCTCCGTTAATGTGCGCAGGTATACGCAAGTCAGATCTGATCGGCGACGTTGGGAGCCGAAACTTTTATCTGCGCAAGTGCAGCACCAGTGATCTCAGCGACGACACTCAAACGGAAAAGACTTCAGCGTCGTCGAATCAGCTCGACGTCCATCCTCTCCCGTTTATGTCGAGCGCAATCAGTCGTAAGATCAAGCGAATTATGCGTCGAACCCGGAAAGTTTGGAGGATTTTCGGATGCATTTCGTGCGCCGGATAGCTCGTCGTGGCTTCGTTAGCTAAGCAACACAATATTATCTTGTTGCTTTGCTATATGTGAAATATATATATATATATATATATTGTTTCGACAGGGAATTTGCCGCATTGGGAAAATCATCGCCTGAACGTAATAGTCTGCAAATTGTTATCTTTTGAGTATGTACAGTAAAAATCTTCTGCCGCAAATATATATAAATATCTTTATAATGTCAGAATCCGCAGCCGCTATCCGAAAGTGCGCATTGGGTAAATCTCCAGCCGAATGTAATACCCTGCAAACTAGGCCTGACGGGTAAGTCATACTAAACGAATTATGTATAACAGATAACCTAAAGCGTAAGAAGTTTTGGCCGAATTTTGAAAATATGATCTTACGACCATAAGTGTACATGTTACACCAGCTCGACTCCAATTGCGGAGCTGGATAAATTGCATGTACTTATGTGTGTAAATTTTATTATATGATGCATGTTTGCGTTGGCCAAAATTATACTCCCTCGTTCAAACAATAAGTATACATTTGTTTTTAGCGCGGAGTGTAAGAAATAATAGTATTTTAATTATAGTGGGTAGGTAAAAGTAGTGTAATGATATTTTTGCCCTTACTTTTTTTTTATATAAAAAGTAATGATGTGATGTAACGTAAGGATATTCGTGAAAAAATGTAGGGTATTTAATAAAATGGTTACTTTGTAATTTGACGTCCCAAAATAGAAATATGTATACTTTGGAGTACTAATATTTTTGTTAATTAGTGAAGTATGTTATTGATTAGTAAAAGTGTAAGAGTTTTAATACTACTTTACTTTCGTCTGACTCTACGGGTCTCATTTATTTTTTGCGTGTTGATATGTGAATATTAATTATATATGTAAACTTAGTACAAATTAAAGAAAAATGACAAAAATACTTTTATTAGTGTCTTATAAGACTATTATAATAACATTTGTACAAAAAAATTATACAAATATAAGGATATTTTTAATGTTAACTACAATAACGAAAAATGTAAATGAGATCCTTAGAGCCGGACCGAGAGAATATTTGATTTCATGTATAAATTAATTGTATGTGTAATGATATGTATGTAATTTAAGTAAAAGTTAAAGTATTTTGGTTTTAATATTTAATAATTTTTACTAAAATAAGAAAATAGTATTTTTAAATGGCACATATAAAAATGTGTTTTAAGTTGGAATATATATATACTGAATAGTAAATATAGATATATAGAGGTAACCTCATGTTAAAGGTACGCATTTTTTATGAATTTGAGAAAATTTTGGTTTTAATTTAGTATTAAAATAATGTATAACGAGATGTTTTGTGAAAAAAAAATATATATATTTTTTCAAACAGTAGAAACCCCAAGTCTTTTGTGTCAAAAGAAACAAACCTCTAGTTTTGTACTTCCTTCGTCCAATTTCTATTGTCCTGAAGTATATTTCCACTATTTTTAGGTGATTATCTTTTGTTATGAATTGACAAATTTGCCCTTAATTGTATGGTAGAGATGAAAAATAATAAATGAATAAAGGACAAAAATGTAAAATTTGTTTTTGAAAAAGAAAATAGGATAATAGTCGTTGGACGTCCCAAATAAAAAAATAGAGCATTAGTTTGTGGACGAAGAGAGTATTTTTTTAGGTATTATATATATATAATTTTATTTATTGCATTAACTCTTCATTTAAACAATAAATCAAAGGTTTAAATTTTTATTATTTTTAGCTGATTAAATTCAATTATCAACTCTACATTTAGTCAATTTTTATCGTTCCTAATATTGTATAATTAATTATTTTTTATAAAAATATATCACATTTACATTTTTAATAGTATATCCAACTACTACTTTATCTTAAAAATAACAAAAATTCAATACCAACAAAATGTAAGCCGATCATATATATATATATATATATATTTGTCTATTTATATTTATAGAATGTGTTATATTAACATATATCATTTGTCGGAAATGAGCGTGTAGGCGAAACTTTCAACGGGTTGGTATAATAATCAATATGATAAACTTTGATAGAAAAAATAAATAAATATTAGATATATAAAGAGTTGAATACAAATATATTTTTAAATGTAATTAAAATATAAAAATTTGATATTATATTTTATAAAATAAAAACAATCTATGTATCATGAATACTATGACAAAAAAAAAAAGATAGATGGACATAAATTCGAAAATGGATACATTATTTGAATCAAGTAGCATAACTTTATCTTTATTCCAATTAATTCTAAAATATTATTATTAAAACTTGTGAATTAAATTAATACTCTCTCCGTCCCTTAACAATCTATTTATTTTCTTAATTTGATCTGTTCCATAACAAAGTATCAATTTCTTTTTTTAGTAATTGTACTATCTACTTAACATTACAAATACTCTGCCAATTTACAATATATTACACAAATGTCATTACTTTTATATCATACAATACTAATATGATTAATTTAGTCTTTTTACCTTTATTTTTACTTTATTCTGCAAAAAATAAATGAATATATAGATATAGGACGGAGGGAGTATGTCATTTTGGTTTTACAAAAACACTTGTAATTGATGATCATAAGAGAAAAGATAATTCGACTATATTTTCTATTTTTTGTCTATCTTATATAATTTGTCTTTGTTTTTTAAATATGATTGTCTATTTTATTCATATGAATTTCATTATTTATAATTTTTTTAATATTAATTAAACTATTTAATTATCTTAATATTAATTTTATAATTATTTTTATTATACAATAAATATTTTTTTTAGTAATACATATTTTAATTACTTACTAATTATATTTTAATTAAATTTTCGTATAAATAATAATAGTCACATTATTCGGGACGGAGAAAGTATTTAGTTTTAATAATCTTATGTATTTACCGTAGGTTTTTAGCCCATCGGGTTGGGTTTGGATTTGAACACATATAATTAGACCTCCCATTCAAATCTGACTTAAATATATATATGTATGTGACTACATCCGATCTAATCCGAAGTATATCTAATAAGACCCGATAGATCCAATCTATTTGAAATGCCTTTTCTTAAAAAAAATTATGTAAACTTGAATCCGAACCCAACCTCGATCAGACATGCATCAAAACTTATGTACTTTTTTTTAAAAAAAAGAAATTATAATAAAATCTTCATAGATAAATAAATTAAACTAAAAAAAAATAAAAATAATTAGAATGATTAAATTTATCATGGCTTGATTAATATAATTGATATATTATAATTACCATCCTTATCAAAGTCATATTCTTGCCAACTATGTCCTATTTTTGTCCTTAAAGAATACCCTTAATATATGTACCTATGTAAAATTACTTGACATTGTGACCTCCAAAAACAACATAAATAATAATGTGTGTAAAATTTTCAATATAATATTTTTGATAAAAATATATTATTTTTGTTTACAAATATTCAAAATAATAAAAATAAAAATTTTAATAACATTTTTCACAGTTAATAGTTAATAGCTTTAAGTGGTAAAAGACATGTGATAGATTAATTTGGATTACAATAAAAGATCAATATTTTGTACCATTTTTGTAAACTAATTTCATAGATTAATACAAATTATTTTATTGTATTTTGTTCTCATTCACGCCCACCTTGGAATTTCTTTTAGAGTCATTCATCCTAAAAATTACCTGTAATTAATTATCGAGTCTTTTTTTTTTTAATATTTGAAGCGAAGATTGACAAGAATAATTTGTTTAGATCAAGGAAAAAAGAACAAAAATAATTTTCTTTAGTGTGTATATACATATATATATATATAAGGTGGGTTTGGCTTGTTTTTGTATTTGTGTATGTATATATTGTTATTAATAATTTAATTTGATATTTTATAAGAGATAATAACATATTTTGTAAGAAAATGTAAAATTTACATATTAAATAAATAAATTGAAAGTATATTAATAATTGTAGAAATATAAATTATTTATTAATAGAAACATATATCATTATGATTTCAATGCATATGTAATTCATGCGCCGAACCTAATACCCTACAAACCAAGCCCGACAGAAAAGTCACACTAGACGAACCATGTGTAGCAGGTGACTTGAGGCGTTGGGGGTTTGAACCCATGACTTTACGGTCACAAATTCAACCCCTACATGTTTATTTAATACATGTGTAAGTTTTAAGTTACTTAACTAAATGCAAATTCAATTTCCCATATTGTTTTCATTCGTATATATTTTCACAAGCCATCAATTCTAAAATTTACATTGGAATATTATAAATTTCATTAAAATTACAAATATATTAAAAGTGGAATAACCAAAAAAATAAAGAAAAAAAACAAATATTGTGTTCTTTTCTAGATTTTGGGACACATTTTTATTATTCAATTTTTTTTCTCTTAAAAAATATTAAATCAAAAAATTATTATTATTTTTTTTATATTGTACTACAAATCTATTTTACATTCAAAATATCATATTGATATATATATTTATATCACATCAAATAATTATTTAAATACAATTTTTTACTATTCAAAAATTTAAACGCACAAAGAAACACACCGGAGTTTATTTGGTTTTGGCTCTAAACTAAAATCAACACTATTAAATTTATAAGATTTTCAAATACTTAAACTAAAACCAAACAAACCCGTAATTTATTTGTTCACTTTGCAAAAAATATTGTTTTTTTACTGTTTAATATCTCATTGTTTGTTTTTTTGTTCGTATTTATACTTTTTTGTCAATCAAATTTATTTTTATTTTTATCTTTAGTTTGTTCGCTAAAATTTATTAAATTATTAATTTTAGTAAAGTAAAAAAAAAACCAATAATTATTTATCACTTTTCATTTAACACTTATTTATAACAAATATTAATATTTTTATTACGATTCCTTTTAATTACTAACTAAATTTTTAATAATAATTTCAGTTACCTAATGTTGGATGTGATATTTCCAAATTAAATTGAAAGATCACATAAGTTAAAATAAATAAATAAATAAATAAATCACAAAGAACACAGCACTCAACTTTTTAAATAAAATATCTTATCTAGTATATTTTTTTTCATTTAAAATATTGTATTCAATAATTATACATATATATATATATATTTTAAAAAGTACCAATTTACAAACCCTAACAATGTCATCAAATATATATATATATGATTTGCATAAGTTCTCGTTAATAATTATAAGGGTAAACTGTTTTTTTTAGTCCCGTAACTGGACCCGCTTATCATTTTAATCTCGTAAGTAGAGCCAGTCGCAAACTAGTCTCATAAGTGAAAAATTTTCGCTGTTTTAGTCATCCGGCGCCGGAGACACCTGTGTGGCTCGCCGAAGGTGACGTGTCCGCCAGGTCAGCGACACATGGCGGACAAGTGGACTTTTATTTTAATTTTTTATTTTTTAATTTTTTTTAAACTTATTTTTATTTTTTTTTTAAATTTTATTTGCATTTTTTATTTTTTTTATTTGGTCCAATTAAAAAATAATTAAAAAAATAAATAAAAAATAA